AGAACTTAAAACTTCTCACCCATAGCAACTAGCTATACATTTTTTTAATTATTAATAAAATCCTTATTTTAACACAATGTTTTTTTAGATCTTCCTTTATGTGTCGTAAATTTGAGGTGAATGGATTCGTTGAACCAAATAGGACTTCAAGATAAAAGGAACTACTTGAAAAAAACAAAATACTTACGAAAGAGGTATTATTTAAGTAACAGCTGAAGAGGGTAACCGATATCCAATATGTCGTATTACGTATATTTATATACTACGAATGTTTTTTTTTTTAATATTGGACAATTCTCACCAATTGACCTAGTCCCATGCTAAGCTGGTGAAGCTTGTGTTATGGGTACTAGGCAACGGATATACAGACATATTATAGATAGATAGACATATAAATACATATTTAAACACCCAAGCACGACACCAAATGCTCATCACATCGATGTTCGTCTCAGCCGGGGATCGAACCCGGGACCCATGGATTCGCAGTCAGGGGTACTAACCACTAGACCAATGAGCCGTCAAAGCCGCTGTTACTGTCCAAATTTATTGTAATCTTTTGATGACCGGAAATAAATCAAACTTTCACCGGATGTGAATTTGACGTCTCTTCATAATATATAATCTGTATTTTTATTTACTAATAGTAAATTAATTATGTACCTAGATGCCCTAAATTAATTATTTTATTAAAGCAGCCAAAAAACTCCCGTCGCCGTGGGAGGCTACACCGAGTTCAATTTAATTACTGTAAATATATTATTTGGATAAACGTAAATTCATTTTCAGATGTGTTTTTAGGTTATCTTAAAATACTTATTACATAATTTGAAGTTTTTATTATCTATACCTTTTTAGCTAAGAAGGTGACGTCATTTCCGTGACATGACATTTCATAGATACTAAACTCGCTATTAATTAATTATAAATTTAATATAATGTATTAACATTCTAGTTAGTATAATATGTTTTTAGAGGATTTAATTAGATTAACTCTTATCTATATTACAATGTTGAACAAAAAATATATAAAATAAGATCATTCAGAAGTAAACATTGTTAACATTAGTTCAAAGGTAAATTCTATAAAGGTGAAACATCACCAAGGAGTTTTGATATCTTGCTATCTGAGGGTGCGATTGCTCCAGTAGTCTGTCCTAAATGGAAAGTTGTGATTTTTTGTACCGCACAATCTCACCCCGATGGATATAGGGAGAACTACATCAATATTGCTCACTAAAACGTCGCCATCGGTATCGCAGTATGGAAGTCACAGAGAAAGGGTCCTGTATTATGTAAATCTTATTACGACAAAAAATCAATAATTAACCTAACTTTATTCTTTCGAATTTAACAACGCATGTTATTATAGAATTTAAAAAATAGTAACTCAATTAAAACAGTTTTATAGATAAGTTACTAACAACGGACAAATGAATCACGCATAAAAATTTAACCAAACCATATATTATTGCAACGTTATTAAACATTTAAGTCTTTTTGAAAATACTGCATTTGTCTTTGTTTTAATTTGTTTAGGATACGTTGTTTACGAATTGCGCTGCTACGTGCGAAATATCAACAGGAATATTTAGATTTCACACGTAGTTTTCTCACATGATTCAACACTAACTTCCGCTTGCCCGCGTGGATTTCGCGTACTTTGACAAGACTTTTTGCCTCTTCAACAGTAATTGTTTTATTTTACATTAAATTATAAAGTGTTCATGTTAACTTATGTTAGGATATACAACCATAATAATTCATTAATAAAGATTTTCAGACGGTTTACAATTTTAGCTTTTGTTTTGTAAAGATTTTACAGGTTGACCGAACCCAGCGGTTATTATTACACTTGAATAAGCCGTAATATTTTCGGTAATATGCATACATAATGCTCTTTATCTTTTGGAAATATTCCAACTAACCATGCATATAACTGAAATTTGTTTAAAAATACAAACTAAGCTAGTTAATTGAGTTGGTATTAACAATATCAGAGAGTAGTATATAGTTATTTTCATCTGTATATCGTTCAATTCAGTATAAAATAAAAGCGTATAAAACTTTTCTTTTCACTATAATGCGAAATGAGTTTTGTGAAATGATAATATGAAATGCCTTGTCATCGTTAATAAATCAAAATGAATTATTTGTCTTGCGATAGATTAATTTGGTGTGGAAACAGAATATATATAATTGTAGTTATAGGATATCCTATAACTACACATGATTGGACATAGGCAAACGAGCCTATGTCCAATCATGAGGGCAATCGTCGCAGCCCATAGACACCAATTTTGTTGGGGCAGCCCTTGAGGAACGAGTATGCACCTTTTAAAAACAGTTGGAGTTTGTGTCTCCCAGAGAAGACCCCTACCGGGAGTTAATTCCACAGTTCCCTAGTTGGCAACGGAAAATGTATTGTTAAGCGAACTATGGGAGACTTCCAGCCATCAAGGTGATGCGGATTAAATTTTGAAGTATATAAATTAAAAATATAAATTATTAAGTAGTTGAATTGTATGTGTGATGTGTATGATCTATAAATCAATAGATTATCAATAGATACAAATAATCGTACTCACATTGGCAAAGCACCCACAAATGGCTTTAAGCTGTCTAGACGGCCTTTGTACGATATTAATTATCATAATTAAGTTGCTATTGAAGACTTTGAACCATCCTATATTTGAATAGATTAAAAATCAACTGAGGTTTCGCGTGAATATTCATTGACACCAATAATGAGCACTTAAAATTAGCGGCTGTATTAAGATATTAAATTATTAATAAGTCACATTGTTGCATGCTTTAAAATACCACGCATTAATATGACATTACAAATTTTAAACATTAATAATAGCAAGGAAAATATCATAATATAGGCAGTATACTCTGTAGCCGTGGTAGTCCTGCGATAGTCGTGATAGTTGTGGCGGTAGTGTGCCGATTGGTGGCAAAGCCCAGCCTTGCTTTTAACGCTCTTGCAAGGCGGCCTGGGGTCGTAAACGAGAATGGTTTGAAGCTTGGGCAGAAGTGGTGACAACCTGTGATGCGACTATCGACGCACTTGACAAAGCACATAGCTTAGCCTCTGGACCTTCAAACAAGAAATCTCTAGGGCAAAGTCCAAGGGCTTTTCTGTTAGCCTTCTTGGCAGTAGAAGGAAAACTCACTTCCCCCACCTCGCAAAGGAGCAGGCCAATCTTCTGGGCTACTTTTTTGCGTTGAACTAGGCTTTAGATTACCAAGGAAAGGCACCACCTACATTATGCGCTGTGATACTTCGATGCCTGAATTTGTATTCCTTCCAAATGCTCAAGTGGAAGGAGTTGGTAATAGGAAGCTCCCGCCCAGACGTGAGAACAATACTTCATGTGGGGCCAAATTTGCGCTTTATACAGTTACAAGCGATGACCCGGAGTGAAGTACAGTCTTTGCTTGATGAGCACACCAAGCTTCTTGATCACTACATTCGATCAACGCCCAATACTCCGATGCAGGCTATTGCTACATGATCCCTGAGTAAAGGCTATATTTAATTCCAAAATATAAAAAAGTCCAGCCGGTCGGAGTCGAGAAAGGCTTTGATAAAAAGGTTAAAGGTTGGTGGACTCAGTTTCCGCACTTTGACTCTCACTAGGTCCGTTGTGCTTAAAGTCCTGGCTAACTAAGCCAGCCTAGCTCCTTCTAGAAGCACTGTCTGATGTCTCCTGGGCACTTCGCAGGCTTCACGGAGCGACCACATTTCTCCGACAGGTTTTGTATAAAATTTATTATAACATTAGTATCGATTTGTAAATAACCTTTAAATTCAATTCACGATTCAAATGACCCAATAAATTAGAAATTAAGTATTCCAATCGCCTTACTATGATTTACGCTTAAACTTGCATTTAATACTAAAGTCCTCTAAATTGCTTTTCGATGTGGCTTAATACATTATAGCGATTAAACAGAATTAACAGGGTAGTACTAAAAGTAAAGAGTTATATTTTTGAACTACACCGAAATAAAAAAATATTTTATTGGACATTCATTTATCGAGAATCTATTAGACGATGACGAGTAAATTCTACATTAAAATTTTGTTTTTGTTTGTGTAAAAGACGTTATTGGTGTAAGTCTGTTTATTCGCTGAAATAAGGTGTCAGTAGATTTAACTTAATCTATCAAGATCAACGGAAAAGTAGAATCAACAAAAGCTAATTCAGTATAAAATAGTCCACGTACAACGGATACAGTTCTCACATGAAACAAACAGAAAGTTTATGCAAATTGGGCTCCTTTGTATTTGCTGGATTAAAATATTGCGGGAATTAGTTGTGTGTCAGATATCCACTTGATTTTACACTAGAATTTGTTGTACAGCTTATCTGTGGTGGTTTGTTGCTGTATATAGTTGGATAGTTTTTCTTTTAACATTATTAGTCACATTTAAATCTTGCGCGGACAAAAAGGTGGATATTTTAAAGAAACAATGATGAATTTAAATATTATTTGATTTATATATAAAAGAAGACCAAGCATTTGCATGAGCACAATAAACCGTATATCGTCCCAAAACTAAGAATAATATTTATTTGACATTCAAACCCTATCACGTATCGGTTATCTCTCAGACAACGTCAGATCATTGTTTAATTATTTCTCATGCTTTTAAAAACTCATACTTTCAAGAATAATTTTATAATTAAATATATTAATTAAAAATATGCTAGGATAGTTTTTGCAACCTCTTCAATCATAATCATTATTATTTACGTAAATCATAACGAATTATGCACCTAAACCTTACAAAATCACCCTATGTTATTGTAAAAACGTTTCTGTTTAAAATTTATCGCATACATACCGGTGAATTCAATTTATAACAAGGTATAAGTTTATCAAAATAAACCATTAAGCTAATACCAGAAACAAAAGTTCAAGGTTTCGTTTCTTAAAACAGATACAAGTAGTCTGATACTTTATCGTCAGTTATACATTTGAGCAAGATGAATTACGTTGTGTTTGTTATTTTACTCGTGATATTTAGTGCAGATGTGCACGCTAACACATATACAAATGACCAAACAATTGGTTTTGATTTCGAAACGTCACAAGAAGAAGAAACTGTTCGTCTAAGTCGTTCAAGAAGAGATGATGACTATTCTGATGAGGGAGGCTTTGTGGCAGCCCCAGGACATAGTGGTGATGACGATTTTATAGCGAATATACGGGATTGTGCGGATGGGAGTACTCGAGCTCCATGGGGAAAGTGTATTTCGTGTAGAGAGTGAGTCTTCTATATGTGTTTTTAAATTATTTATAATTAATTATTCATGGGAAAAGTAAGTTATATTTGTTAAAATGCTTGAGTAGCTTAGGAATTTGTTTGTAAAATGCTACTTGGATAAATATACAAGTAATTCTAAATATAGTTGTTTAGATAAACATATAACCCGCATATTCAAGAAGGAACGAAATTGAATTGTAGAATATTATCGATTATTCTTTGTTCTCCAACCAATCTTGTTTTAATCAAAAATTAATTTGTTTTGTTTTGCTATTAAGCGGTCGAACTTTTATCGTGTTGTTGTGTTGTTGTATACATATATGTGTAAGCTATTAAAATTTGTGTTGTGATATAGATATTATTAAAACACTTTTGTTTCAGATATCAAAAAAAATTCAGAAGAATTGGTATGGGCTGCTGAAAGATAAATATAAGTTAAGCATTTTCATCTTGAGTTTCTATTAATATGTACTAAAATAACCCGCCTTGATAAACTTATACACGAGGTCATTGTGAATTAAATAATATAATATGTTTAATGCCTTTAGTTCTTAGTTAAAATTTAATTTAATTTTTTTCTTGTGTTTCGTGTGTGTCCAATAATTTTATATTTATTTTAAAAATTATAACCATATAAAAATTTTAAAAATATAATTATAATTTTGTTACTTTAAGTCTCTAAAATGAATATGCATACTGTATATATGTAGCTACTAATGTACTGTTTCCTGGACAGTTAAGAAAACAAACGTCCCAATACTAAGTCGTTTTTAGGTAAAAAACCGTCTATGGACACATTCTAAGTCAAGAACTTTACTGACATGGTGTGACGACACCAGACCTTGAGACCGTTCCCTACTGGACCGATCAAGTTCAGGCCTTAGAGGTCTCACCATCATTCAGGTGCAGAGGCTTCCGAACAGGGGAGAGTGAAGGAAATTGTGTGGTGCTACTAACACGTCCTTCAAAAATCAAAAGTGCGACTGAAGAAGAAGGGTTTATTTTTATGTTAAAACCGGCTTAAATCGTAGTTTTAAATAAGATATTTTTATTTAAGATTAACCAAATATTGACAAAAATTTTGTTTGCCAAATATTGCTCAACATTGACCTTGTCAACTATTTTTTATTTCCTCACATCAGTGTTAAGTGATATTTGATGCAAAAAATCACCTTAAATTCAAATCAAACAGCCACAAATAATAGACAGCTTTTTATAACTCGAAGGTCTTTTCACATACGTCGATAAATACACATCAAGTCCAGGCTTCTATCAAGGAAGTTATTAAAAAGGGCTCGTATTTCTTTAGACTAATGACGTCGATGCGACAGCCTTTTGCCCCTTGCATTAAAAAATGGTTTTCTTTCAACCCCCTTTTCGCATTTGAAAGGGTCCTTTATTCAGAGGCTTAGCGCTCGACGGTATTCAAACGCTATAAGAATTTTGTAAACGTTTATATTTGTACATTGTGCTTCAATAACGATTTATACAGTTTTTAAGGGTGTGAAAACTTTTAAAACTTCGTACAACGCCTCTACGTTGCACACACCTCTACATTGCGCAAGTGGTATGCAGATGGTATATAGTACTTTCTAAATTAAATTAAAAGGCCGGCAACACACTGGCGAGCCCACTTCCATTGTGAGTGTCCATGGGCACTCAATATCAGATGAGGCTCCTGCCCGTTTGCTCCCTGTTCTATAAAAAAAGTTTTGTACGTTTGCTCAAACCAAACCGCGGCTTATATTAAATAACAATCCCTGTTAGGATCATTGGTACTGTGGAAGAAATAATGCTCATGATCTTTAGTAGCTACAAGTAACTACACGAATAACATCCATCATATTACAAATTCCAAAGAGCTAATAACATTTAAAAGCCCATCCACACGCTTGACAAACAATGGCAAACAGCTAACAGCAAACAGCAAACACGGACGTGTGGATGGGTGTTTGTCGTTGTTTGCCTGTTTGTGTTCGTGTTGGGCAGTGTTCGGCATCGGTGTCGGTTTATCTTGCCAGATCAAAGGAGTTTCAGATCAGACGTTTGGCAGCGATCAGTATGCGCGCGAGCTTGCGGGAGGCGGACGTATTTACTTGCTACACTTTCGTTGGCGCGCAAAGCGTAAAAAATGTCTGATTGGAGCACCTACGATTCTGACATTTTTAAGTAACTTTTAAGTAAAATAAAAAAAAAACACGGCAAAGTAAAGCTCAAATAATAGGTCTAAAGCCTTGTACGCTTTCTATGTATTTTAATCATCCACCATCGTCTTTGCTTTCTTCTTTTTTTCCTTTTTTCTTTCTCTTGCTTTAATTTATAATAAAAATATGTCAACCCGAAAGTAATAGCTGCAACAAGCTCGTCGTCCGCCATGTTTGCCGATTCGGAATGTTATGAACGTTCGCCAAGCATGTGGATGGCTGTTTGTGTTGGGTGATTGTGGTTGGTGTTTGGGACTTCGTTTGCTTTTTGCGGTGTTTGTGACAAACAGCCAGCGTGTGGATGCCCCATTATACTTTATAACATCCTTGACGACGTCGTCCAATTCATAAAATGCGACAGGCTCAAAGGACATGTGCACCGAATGACGGACGACAGAACCCTAAGGTGGTTAACCTGGTGGCAAGAGAAAACTCGGTAGACCGATGCTGCGTTAGTGGATTGCTATGGACCTCAAAACAATAGAGGTTCGAAGTTGAATGCGAGAAGCACTAAATAGATTGCGATTGCGACATATAGTTGAGGACAAAGGGCTGTAGCCATTGATGATGATGATGATTAACATTTCATGACACAAGATATTTTAAACATTTTCACATCATTTCTATGTTTTCATCTTAATAATCTGTGTATATATTTGACGGCTCATTGGTCTAGTGGTTAGTACCCCTGACTGCGAATCCATGGGTCCCGAGTTCGATCCCCGGCTGAGACAAACATCGATGTGATGAGCATTTGTTGTTGTGCTTAGGTCTTGGGTGTTTAAATATGTATATTTTATATGTGTTACGTCTATCTATGTATAATATGTATGTATATCCGTTGCCTAGTACTCATAACACAAGCTTCACCAGCTTAGCATGGGACTAGGTCAATTGGTGTGAATTGTCCAATAAAAAAATAAATATAAAAAAGTACGTTTTTATAGAATCGTTCAATTGTTCGTAGTTTAAATAATAACATTAATGTGTGGTCAAAAAATATCACTTTTTATTTAACTTCCGCCGGAACTCAAACTATGATTTTCATTCAATGTATTTCATATATTTGTACATTGGTTTTCGTTTTATTTCCACACAATTTAATCTCTATTTTACCAAATATTACGCGAATACGCTTCGAGGGTAACAATAGCGTTGAGCAATTTAACGACGAACCAACTTTATTATGCAATTTTCTTTCAAATATATCTATAGAAATAATTTACGTTTTGTAAGTTAAAATACAATAACACAGTTTCAGTTCTGTGACAGACTATTTGAAGAGATAAGCAGAACTAATTACAGCAAAATCTCGCTAGTTCTTTAAAAAAACACAAAATAAATCGTTACCGTACGAGCCGTATCAATGCAAATTTCAACTTCAAAATCAAATCAACACCACCATGAGGCTGGAATTCTTCCACAGTCCGTTTCACAAGGCACTTTCTTTTGCGATCTAGCGATCAGTGGAATCGACTCCCGGTGAGGGTCTTCCCTAAGAGACGACCTATAACTATTCAATTGTAGAGTGTACTCCTCCCTCAAAGGCCGGCAACGCACCCAGTAAAATGGGTGTCCATGTGCTGCGATGACTGCCCTTTATGGGCGTCTCGTAGGCTCGTTTGACCCCCTATTATATAAAAATCAAACAATTATATGAACAAAGGGCTTCTTAAAATAGTAATATGGCTAGCAACCGTTATCAATATTACTTATGTTATGATTAATTTCTTTAAATCAACTAAAAATATGTTTTGTGTCTCCAAAACAATCTACGTTATAACAGCGACTAGAGCCGCTTTATTATGCCTATATTTAATATAATGTTTGTAGATGACGGCAAATATTATAATCAATATACCTCTTTCATCATCATTACCTATGTAAAATAAGACTATATTTTATATTTTAATTGTTTAAGAACAAAATTAAAACGCTGTCTATTAAAACACAATTTATAAAGCATTTAGCTTCAACTACTCGTATTTTTTTAATAACATCATTCATCATTACTATCTAGCCTAGTTTAGCACTAATTAGGATATTTAACATAAGTGTCCAATAAGAAGACTTACACCATTAAGGAGACACTGTTCTTGTGTTCTATATTTCCACTTACCACTGTTTAAAACTTAATACTAACGTTCACTCACACTAATTCATTAGATTTTCAATCTTGTAATGATAAGTAATTTCAATCTTCTAACTAGGCCTGTGATTCTACTATGACTACATAAATACACAATATGTGCAAATTGAAAACTACACCCATAGATTACGAAGTTACAATTCGCTGCAACCGTACTACGAACTTTATAATTCAAATTGTTCTCAACAAAATAAATAGATCTAGTTTCAAACGTTTAAGCTATTAAAATAATCCATGAGTGTTTCGCAATACAATTTGTTCTAGACCACGTCATACAGCTTAGCCCAAATTAAAACTGCAACCGTGAGCGAGCGGTTGACCGGGAAAGTTCGACTGCATTACTTGCCTGCAGGGATACTCTGTAAACTCATATCCTGTTGAACTGAGACTCCAGGTTATATTTGACGTCAACATTTGTTAAATTAATGTCATCAGTTTATATAATAAAACAATTGAAATACTTGTATTGTAACAATTTCAAATTAAGAACTTTTGTCCAAGCTACAAAGATGCAAGGTACAAAGAAGGTATCAAATATCATTTCTTCCTTGCGTCTTTATCCTTCTGTATAACATTATTGTTTAGCTTATAGGCTCATCCAAAACTCAAACGCAACTTCGAGAAAAAACAAACACATATCCTATCCTGTGACTAAAGCTATTATTGATACTGTATCAATTCAAAATAATTATGACATCTTATTGCGATGTTTAAATTCAATATTTCATCTGTATTGTTGGGAATTACGTGCTTGAAAAATTTAATATGTCAAAACCGGGCTTGGAGATGCAATGTTATGGCTAGGCCTGCAAAGCTTTGACTGTTATTTTCAATGGTAAATTATTCATTGGTTTGTTCATTTATTGGTTAGTCAGCTTTCACTGACGCTAAGCTAAACCCACATAACATTTACACTTCTTTTTATTTATTTATAAGTTCTAAAACAATGTGAATGCATTAAAAAATACAGGAAAATATTACATCACAAATTCAACACACATACAAATCAATGATATTAGAACAGAAGCAAATGCTATCGAGGGCAAAAATTAAAGAAACAACCACAAA